GCAAAGGACATGTGGGGGGCACCTGCAGGAGCAGGGGTGGTCAGCTGCTCTGTGAGGGGATACAAGGGGCAGCTGGGGCCAGGCTCTGCTTCCTTTTGAAAGTCTAAGCCCAATCCCAGGCCTCCTCTGTTAGACGCTAGTTGGTGTTTTACTTCAGGACTCTGGGGACCCAGGCTTAGCTGAGGTTAGGGCAGGTGGCTTGAGTCAGGGGCTATTCTGATTGGAAAGCACAGCAACCGTGTATTACCTTTCCACCAGCCAAATCTGGGCTGTGAGTCCAGGTCACTGTCCTCAGGGGAGGAGAGACAACTGGAGAGCCAGGCCCGGCAGCCATGGTGGGCCTGATGACAGAAGTCACTCCCTCTGTGCAATTCCACTTCTGCCCCCCACCCCCCAGCCCAGTGCAGAAGACATCACTGCTGTCCCCTGCTCAGGAGCACTCTAGCTTGAGAGCGCGGATGGGACTGAGCACAAAGTCCAGGCTGAGCCCAGCCCGTGTCACAGCCAGGCCAGTCCCCAGTGTCGGTCATCTGGAGCGCTCACACCATTTGGGACACTTTGGGCTGCCCTTTTGGAACAGAAGACACATTAGGACTTACTTTTCTTATACCCCAGGCCTGGGTGCTGGTGTGGGTTTCAGAGTCCCAGAACTGCCGAGATGTTGGACCCAATAATCCTTTGAGTGAGATCATCCTGTGCACTGTAGGATGCTTAGCAGCACCCCTGAGCTCTACCCCCAGGATGCAGGTCTCCCCATCCCATCTGTGACTACCAAGGACACACCAGGTACTGCCTCATATCCTCTGGGATTAGTGTACCAGGACTACTTTGTGAATATTTCAGCCTTCACGTCACGGTCCCTAGATGTCTGCCACAGCTCCAGACATCCCTCACATGCTTGGGACAGAAAGAATGCTGGACTGGGGAATCGCTCAGTTGGCAGAGTGCCTTGTTAGCACAAACAGAGCCTTACGTTTGTTGCCCAGCACCACATAAATGGAGCACAGTGGTGTGCACCTGGGCCTGCAATCCTAGGACACAGGTAGAGGCAGGTGGATTGGGAGTTCAAGGTCATCCTTGGCTACACAGTAAATTTAAAGGTAGTTTAGGTTACACGAGATCCTACTTTGACCAAAAAGGAAGGAAGGAAGAGATAAAAGAAGAAAAAAGGAAAGAAAAGGGCAGGAGGGGAGGGGAAGAAGGGAAGAGGGGAAGGGGGAGGCGAAGGGGAGGAGGGGAGACTGCAGAAAGGCCACTTGGACATCTCATTCGTGGGGAAGTGGAGGCTCCTCAAAGGCCCTGACAAACTTCCACTGGGAACTACCTGGCCACAGGAAGGGACATGGCAAGGGAGACTGGAAAAGCAACTGTGTTTTCCCAAGCTGAGAGAGAGAGAGAGAGAGAGAGAGAGAGAGAGAGAGAGAGAGAGAGCGAGAGAGAGAGAGAGAAGAGACAGACAGACAGGAGTGTTGGGGGTGGCAGGGTGCTGTCAGCCGGTCTAGAGCCCCCAAGTCCCCGAGTTTCACAATGGAGCTGTCTCCACCATTTATATGGGATGCTGACCTTCCTCCCGCTTCCCTGCAGTTCAGTGCCTGTCACTGGGTCCCCTTGCTCAGTCTCGGGCTCTTGTCCAGTCTTCGCTGGCCTCTGGGGCAGGATTTCCTCACAGAGAAGGAAGCCAGGGATCTTCCACAGCACAGGGGCCAGGGGTGTCAGCGCTGCAGGGGTGGTGAGCCCCACAGTGGTGCCAGGCCTGTGCCAAGGGCTCCACCCCCAGAGCCACTGGCCATGTGAGAGCTGTAATTATTCCCTGGTGGCAGAAGGGCTGTTGAGGACTAGCCAGTCCCAGCCCTGCCCTCTTCCTCGAGCCAGCTGGGGCAGCCTGTTCATGGCTGTACTATCAAGTCCTCTTACCACTGACCTTGCCAGTTGGGTCATGGGGCAGCCCATGGACTTGAGGACCCAAGGCTGTCTAAGCTCAGAGCCTGGTCTGTTCTGAGGTTGAGGAAAAGGTCTCTCCTTGCCAAGTGCCATTGGGCCATCCATAGACACAGGTCTGGACTGACATAACCACCCAGCTACAACCACTAGCACCCAGCTAGAGATACAGGGTTGAGGGGTTCCTGAGTTCTAATCCTGACTTGGCTCTGCCCCACCTCACCATGTGGTCCTGGATATTTGCCTACATCTCTGAGCCCAGCCCTCAAAGCCAGGGGCCAAGGTCTCTTTTGAATGCTATTGGGAGATAAGATGGGGGTCCCAGAGCTGGCCTGGCCTCAGTGAGCCTCAGTTCACGCCATCTGAAATGTGTGATGGAGAACAGTGATCTGGTCTAGTGTCTATGACAGAGGCTATTTCTGGGTTAAGTTGCTTAGGTCAGGGAAATCCCAGTGAGGTCCTGCGACAGACACCACAAGGCAAATGGACTTGATATGGTTAGCCACAGCTTTCAAAACATGCTGGGGAGCCAGGGGGAGAGGTGCAAACCTGTACTGAGTCAGGAAGATGGAAAGAGGCATGACCAGCTAGGGCTAGGGGAACGAGTTGTCCCCGTGGCTAAGTTGATCCCAGTACACACAAGGTGAAGGAGTCATCTGTAAGCTGTCCTCTAACCTCCACATGCATGCTGTGGCATAAATAAATAAATAATAAATAATCTGGGGACTGGAGAGATTGTTCAGCTGTTAGGAGTGTGTATTGCTCTTGAAGGGGATCCAAGTTCAACGCCAAGCACATGCCACGTGGCTCACAACCACCTGTATCCAGCCTCTGCAGGCACAGACACTCAGCAGGCACCAACACTGGCACGCACAGACACTCACACATAGTTAAAGATAAGGGCTGGTCAAGGCTCAGCACTGGCTGCTCTTGCAGAGGAGGGGGTTGGAGTCCCAGCATCCAAGCACCCACATGGCAGCTAACAACCGTCCCTAACTCCAGTTCCAAGGGCTCCGACACCTCTTCAGATCTGTGGGCATTGCTCAAGGGTGCACTTACCGACACGGCAGGCACTACGGTCATACACATAAAACAAAAATAAGAAAGTAAAATAAACATTAACAAAGTTAGAGGCTGGCCTGGGCTACATGTCAAGACCGTGTCTCAAACAAAAGGAACACGGCCTGGTTCTCTGTAAAGGTGTCAGTCCCGAGGCAGCCTGGCTCCCTGCTCCGACTTGGAGGCCCTGGCTGCCCCTGCCCCCTCTCCGGACCTCTTGGTCCCGGGCTCAGTCCCCGCCTAGAGCTAATGGAAGTGCTTGCTGCTAAGTTCATTCATTCGCCCGCGGCAGCTGCCCCCTTCCGCGCGTGCGCGTTCAAAGGCGGGGGCGGTTGCGCGGGGACGCGGGGCCCCCGGGCAGGTGCCGAGGCGGGAGGAGGGATTTATAGGGCCGCCCCGCCAGGCGTCACGCCCACGCGCGCTCGCGTGATCCGCGCGCCCCTCCCCCTCCGCTGCGAGGGGCGGCAGCACGTGCCCACGGCGCCCGCCCAGCCCGCTTCTCCGGGAGGGTCCGGGGAGTTCGAGGGGCGGGGCGCGGGGGCGCCCTGGGGGCCGCTGGGACTTGTAGGCCCCGGGCCCGCTCGGGGTCCTCCCTGCACACCGGCGGCGACACTGAGGTGCAGAGGAGGGACCCAGCTGGTTCCAGCCCTCGGGACCAGCCGTCGGCCCCTTCTTGCCCCCTAAGGGCAAACTTTAGCCTAAGTTTATATTAAGCGCTTCAAGGCCCCTGCGGTGGTCGCGAGCGCTCCTCCTCCTCTACGTTCCGTCGTGGATTCACTCAACAAACATTTCCCGGCTTGCTCTTCGCCTCTCAAATCCCATAGGTTGAGCAAAACTTTCACGATCATCCGACTTCAGGGAGACCCTGCTGGGGAGCCTTGTGGGGGAAATAAACCCTTCAGCGCCGGACAGGCAAAGCAAGGGGGGAAAGGTGAGACGCCCTGCACAGGTGTCCAAGGGGACTCAGCTTGCCCACCGTCCCCCTCGGCCACCGGGTTGTGCGTGGAACCCCACTTAGAGTTGTGGCATGTTCAGGGCCCAAGGTGGTGCCTAGGGACCGAGAGAGGGGCCTGGGAGCCAGAAGTGGGGATGCTTAGTGGTACAGTGATGAGCTCGGTGCTGCTTCCATGCAAATTTCTACGTCTTTTTAAAAAACATATTTTATCTTTATTATGTGTGTGTTACCTGCACGTAAGTGCACTTCTGTGTGCAATGCCCGGGGAGGTCAGAAGAGGCCGTGAGATCCCCTGGAACTGGAGTTAACAGCTGGTTATTAGCCGTATGTGAGTGTTAGGAGCCAAACCTGGGTTCTCTGCAAGAGCAGCCAGTGCTAAAAAAAATTTTTTTTTTTGAAACAGGGTTTCATTTAGCCCAGGCAGGCCTCAAACCCACTATGTAGCCAAGGATAGCCTTGAACTTTTTGATCCTCTTTATAACCCACTTCCTAAGTGCTGGGATTACACGTGTGCGCCACCGTCCCAGGTTTATTTAGTGCTGGGGATCAAACTCGGGGTTTCATGCAAGCACCCTCCCACGCGCATCGCTGCACCCGGTGTCGTCCTGGGGTGAGACACGGCCTCTAGCAGCGGGGGTGGCTAACAGTGCACCCGGCCACCGTGCGTCCCGCGTGGGCGGGGCACGCGGTGGAGCTCCGCTAAGATTCCCCCATCCCTGTCGGCCCGCCTGCGGGGTGTGCCTGGGCGGGGCCAGGACTACACTTCCCGGCAGCCCCCGTGCATGGGAACAGGACCAGACCCCGGGGGCGGAGCTGCGGGGGCGGGGCCGGCTACAAAGGCGGCGGGCGACCGGCCGAGCGGAGTTCGCACAGCGCGGTGCGGAGCTTGGGTCGCGGATCGCGCAGTGGCCGCCCGGCGCGCCCGGCCTCGGCCCCAGCCCCGCACATGCGCGG